ATAGGTATAACGATTAAAACAATAGAAAAATTAGGAGTGATAAAAGACTTTTGATCATTAATTTTTCATTGCCCCTATAAATAAAGATTGTACATAAATTTTAACCCTCTATTTTGTAATCTCAAGATCTCGAACAAGACTCAGTAAGCACTCCGCAGCACCAAGAAGACACGCATGATTTACATCCCTCCACGTCCCTGACTACTCAGCAACCTAGCCCGCAGGACTACCAGCAAACACAACAGTATCCTCAACATCTGCTGCATCAGAGTGCGACCTGTTTGACGACTCTCGAGCAGCAACACAGTCCTCAAAGCGGCCAACAGGAGCAATCTTACTCGACACCCTCGAGTTTCTGCGGTAATACCAATGATTTTAACGTAAACTTGAATCCTGTGCCGCCGTCGAACAATCACTCATCTCATCATCATGACCACGGTGGAAGGATAAAAGGTGAAGCATTCCAGTGGATGCGCAGTCATCTGAAAGCAGTGGGAAGTAGTCAACCAGCTAGATTTCACCCATTCCACCATGATCATGACCATCATATGCCGTCGGACTCGACATCGTCAATGACATTAGGCAATTTTTGGCGTGACTCTGGTATAAGCAACCAAAGGGTACCAAACTGCACCAGAACCAATATCAGCCACGGATAGCAACTTTGGTATATGTACCAAACCATACCAAACGATCGCCAAAAATCGCCTATTATAACGAGGTTGACGGCGTGATCAACTACCCGAACTGTGATTTCTACGAGTTTTACTGCTACGACTATTGAAAAACTCGACTCTTTGTGCGCTCTTGCGTCGATGTATTCAAAAACGAGACGACAAAATAATAAATATAGAATAATTGATGTAGAAGAAAATTACGGTATGTTCGAACTGGATCTTGATAGCCTAATAATACTTCTGTGTTCTTGCAAGTACAATGAATATATACATTTATACATACCAAATATGTGTTTCGTAAATATATGTACTTAAAAAGTTGCACCAAGAAATAAAAACGAAAGCATTTCTTTATTACCCCATTGAACTCTTCTAGACTTCTTACTATATATAGCTAAGTAGCATACAATATCAAATAAATCTAAACTTTCACAAAATTCATGTTCTATAGCTAAAAGTCCTAATTCGATTAATCGGTCCTGAGATCGGTCATAGAAGATCGCAGATAATTCGTTATCAATTTTAATTTCAAAACATTTCTTTCTCTAAATGCAACAGTTATCAGCAATGTTAAAAAAATTCTTAAAAGTATAAACAAAATAGGATATGATAACTGTAAGATATTTTTAATAATATAATCTAAATTTTTTTAAACAAATTCGATGAGTTTTTGTATTATTTTATGTTTGCAATTCGTTAAATAATTCCACGCTATCTATATCTTTAGATGAATTTTCTATATAAATTTGCAGACTAAAGTCTAAATACTCTAAATCAAAACAAGCTTTCTTTAATTTCTCTTCTGACAAATTATGAAATTTGCACAAAAATCGAAATAAATCATTGCATCTGCTAGGTTTGAAATATTTCTTGACTTACTCGCATAAATCGTGAATAATTCAAGACAGATGGAAAATGGATAATTTCCAATCCAAAACAGATGGATAGCAACTGTCGCACACATGTTCAACTTCCCGAAAAACACGAACAACCTGTCGATTGCTTTCAACTTACCCTGTCGAACAATTTTTTTAAAATCCCCGAGATTTTTCGTAATGATTATTAAAGTACGTGCTCAGAGCGTGTAAAATAAAAATGTTGACCAAAAGAATAATTTAAATGTTGACAAAAATATTGAGTCAATAAATCAAAACGTAAATGTTTTTAATGATTAGGGCGATTGTATTTAATGAATTTGGAATTCAATTTTAAAAATTATTATAGTAGTGAAAGCTATTTATAAAGTTAATTAAAAATATAGTGAATAACTTGTAGATAAATGGCCTTATTACAGGTATTTTAAACATATGTTAGCATCTGTGCTTATGATACAAGTGACGTAATTTTAATTTTCATGACAATTTTAAAAGATAAATAAAAAATATAATTTAATACGTATAATACGATATTAATTCGCTTCAAGACACATTAGATTTTATTGTGCATTATGTTATACGATATAAAAAATTAAGTTCAATGACAAGTATTACAATATACGTATTATCATACGTAAAAAAAAGAACATTTATTTGTATTAGTAAATTAATATTATCTAATGATATGTGTGTGCGTGTTATCATAAAATAATATTTATTATTATTATTATTATATAACGTATACAGGAAACATTTATTTATATAATTTTAAAAAATATTATTATACTGTAAGATTCATTTTCGAGTGAAAAGTGAAACGATAAAACAAGTATTTCAGAGATGAATCATTTATATAAAAAATATTTTATTACACATTTCTGTTATAAAAATAATACAAGCTACAGCGTTACAAAATTTGACGAAACCTTATATCGAACACAATTTATTGGCACGTTATCCGAAGTATTACGAGGCTTACGGTTTTTCATCTTACGTGCACGTAATAGATTTTTGCGCACGTTCGTTATATTCGTATTGCGATTATGTATTAGGTAACATACTTGGCACTGGATTAGATAAAAATACCTAACTGCAGTCAATAACTGACCTACTTCAACGTAGATATAACGCGAGTTGTCTTGTGTCGCAGCGATTACAAAAAAAACATTAGAACGCGTTGAGTATAATTATTTTACAGATTTCGGCTTCCACTGTTCCACGTTAGAATATTTTTCATGCTATTTTGTCAAGACATCATACATCTAAAAGTTTCATTATTTAAGATTTAAGAATACAAGCAACTTGTAATAATATATTTTTTATATACCACATATATAAAAAAGCTTACGTTCATATATACATTAAAAATTTATCTTAATTATATATAAAATATATAGTTGCATATATATTAGATACGTATATTATATCATACTTTAATGTATATACTTATACGTATACCTATATATGTATGTATATTTTTATTATGCATTTTATTATTAATATAATATCAAAATAACACGAGATTGCTCCACTTACGTTCATTATATATAAAATAAAAAATAATATGAGATTCTTAATTTATAATTTATAATTTACCGTATCTTAATTTGCTGCATTTAATTTTTATTTTTAATTAAAATTTATATGATAATATGATTATTAATATAATAATCACATAATTATATTTTAAAAACTAGATACTTAAAATGGTTTAAAGAAATAAGTATTACCGAACATCCATTACTAGAATTATATATAAATACGCACTTTAACATAAAAAAACGTTAAGAAGGAACCGACTGCTATGAATCAGGAAGTGCGTACAAAGAGAACCGCAGGCTCTCGTTCACCGACAATATTTTCAAGTAAGTGTACGTGTAGTGGATTTCACTGATAAGAATAAGCAGAAATAAAACCGTCGGTAGTTGCCACCACGCAAATCGGACGTATTCCCAAATGCGATCCAGAAATATTGCCAGAAGCATATAGTCCATCATCGCGTGAAAGTTGAAGATCTTCCACGCGAGAGCGATAGTCCAGAAAGAGGAACTTCGGAAAACGATGGTCTGCCTATCGTAGAGATCCTCTCGACTGATCATCGAAGAGACGTCAGACTCCAGGAGATCCTGGTATACGGATATGTACCGGTTCCAAGCGATACTCGTCAGGCAAAAGTGGAGGCCCACCATTAGCATGTTGTACAGAGGTGATCTCCAGAATGACGTAGAAGAAACAGAACTGTGGGATGACGATGACGATGATAACGTTCGTATGGGCAGTCGCTCGTAGCCAGCGCGGTGATTAGAGTTGCGTTTCAGAAAAAAGAATACCCCGACCGCGAGAGCGACGCAGCCGAGAGCATCGCAGATGCCATCCACAAGATAACCGATAGAGCCAACGTCCGATCTTTCGCCCTTGACGTTGAGCCTCGTCCTGGCAACGTGGCCGTCCAGATTATCCAACCAGGCTCTGACTTGGAACAGAACGACACCCACTCGTCTGTGACACAGGGAACTCCGTGTGACGTACCGGGCACCGATTATAGCCACCATTACGTGAGAAAAACTGATGGCGTTTGGCGTCAGCCACGTCCAGGAACGACTGATGCCCAGCAAATAATCCGTCAGGGACGCCAGGGGACTCAGGATGTAGTGATTAGGATGGTCCAACGTCATGGCCTTCACCGTCACGGTGCAAATCGGATTCAGGTCACACAAGATTGGCGAATAATACGGCGAAGCTCGCGTGTCGTTCATGGGTGGACGCACATCGTAGTCCTGCACTCGGAAATAGAGTAGCAAATCCATCCCCACGAAGTACAGCAAGAATAGAAACGCCAGACATGTCTTACTGATAAACGAGTACATCTTCCGAGATCCAAGGTTGAATCGTTTCGCTCCTCGTTTTCTATTTTTCCTTCTATAATATATAATATTCTTCTTTTGTTTGTTTATTCATCTAAGTCAGTTGTTATAATTATTCGTTTAATCAGTGGCTTATTATTGTCTAATTATTTCTCATCTAATTAAAAGAGATGACACATCCCGTTGCGGCCGATTGTTATCCTTATTAATTAAGTGTTACCGGCGTGCCATAAATTCAATTTATGTTTTATGTGTCACAAAAATCTTGTCAAGGCGTATACTTTTGTATAGTGTTGCCTCATTGATTAACCGCTATGATATTCTTTTCAATGGTTCTTTTCATCCTTCCTCTTTAGCAGCTTTAGCTGCTTTTTTCGTCGTAATGACCGCACGCTGTACCAATAACTGGCAACGCCTTGTAAAAATTACGTCGTTGACGTCAAACTGTCATCGAAACCAGATACACATTTTTGCCGCTGGATACAGAGACAAATCCCATCCTCTCTATTGTGTCGCTGATGCGTATTCTGAAATATTTGTAATACGTTACATTTCAAGTCGCAACTGGCAATTATAAGTTTATCATTAGCTCGCCGCTATATTTCTCGTATCAGATTAAAACACCATGTTATTTTCGGTCTATTTCAGATAGGGGCGAGACAACTGGACATGCACATGTGTTCCGATGATCTTTTCCCTCGCGCGATAGCCAATCCACGAAGTCGCGGGTCACACTAAACGGAGGAGACAGGTGGTCGGTCGCGTTATTCATCGATCACAGGTTTCACTACGTTCAATATAGGTCAAGATCAGAGCTTGATCCGCGATTAACTTTAATCCAATCCGACGGATTGTGACGGACGTTAACACGGAATATACTAAACTGTTAAACGTTTGTAGAAAAAGAACCTCGTATATATATTAATCAGAGATAAAACAAACACGATAAGAATGACAGGTCTTTTTTCGCCGTCTTTCTTACTTCCCTCGACTCCTTGAAGAGCATCCCTACATTCCCTACGGCCAAATATTCGAACTCTTTAGTCAGTTAAATTCTAGTTGACCGTATTCTCTTTTGCGCAGAATTCTATTTATATCTGTACTGCGTTGAATTTAGTTAGTCGGATATGAAGGTCGCATGTGTAATGGATATCACTATTTGCCATATTTAGAACAGAATGCAAGCCACGAGAGAATAAGAATTTCATTTCCACAACGTATAAATAATTCATGAGAATAAAAACTTTTTTCTTAAAATTTAAAACGGTTTTTTTCCACGCTCAGAGTTTAATGTGGTGGATGTTGCACGTTTTCCAATATATTATGTATTCTTCTAATATATAAATCGTCCTGGCATTGAATAGTTTCCAACAGTATGTATTATCTAGATAGATTTAAATATTTTCGGCATACTCATTATATCTGTGATTGCAATTAGCACGAGTAGAACATAGCAACTACAATATCGAGTACCTAGAATGTGTTAGTATCCGAAATATAACTGAAAAATAATTTTATAATTTAAGTAAAGAAATCATTATCCCTTGCCGCTATTTCTTTCTCAATTACCATCTCTTTCAACGAGATATTAAACTCATGTGGTTACTAAACACTGACATTGGCGATTATTAATATCCATAGTTGTAGGAATTAAGACTTGTATGTGGATTTAGTGAATGCAATACAAATGCTACATAGGCTCTCCATTATCTCAACCGAGAAATGTGCTGTACGCTTAAATTTTACCTGAGGAACGTGTGTGCTTTTATCACAACCTGTATCGCCAACCAGAACCAAGGTCTAGCAAGATCTATTTCTCCAATAAATAAATAATATGATCTTTGTTTTTGAGTATTGGCAGTAATGGCAGTCATCAACGTTGCATGTCGAGCGCAAGCGAATGATGCGCATTGTAAAAAAATTATGTCGACGAGTAAGCATCAATATCAGTCTTATCCTCCCGCCACGTGCTGTATCCTAATTAATAAAATTACTCGATTAGTGACTGATTTCTCACAGCTTTTGAACTGCAAATCAAATAGGACTTTCATGCATATGTATTTTTTTAAATTAAACCGTACAAGTTGATTGAAACGAATTGTCAAATTGCAAACTGCCTTTCATCCGAAATGGCAGTTAGATAATTGTTATTCATTGATGTACCCCAATAATTCACACAATATAAAAATTGAAGCAGCTTGATTTAACGAAATAAATATATTGATTGAATAACATAACCTTACCCGGCTTGGAGAAAAGCGGCCGAAACATCTTTGGAAGAGTTTAAAACAGCTTTGATGTAAGAGCAGTTATATTTGTGTGTATTACTTAAAATAGGAAGGTATATATTGTACGAATAAAATGGACGTAAATGCAACTGCATATCAATAGTATGGAAGTACCTAGGTCTAATGTATACAAACAACAGCAGGGTTGATGACACCAGATGACACTTGCACGGTAGATGGCTCTTGCCATTGTTATTTTACACGTGCGTCAATATTTAATTTTTTATCATCATAAGTAGTTCTGAATGCAGCAACAATTTTTATATCCTGACGCAGAAGTTTATTTGCAATTCTATACACTCCACACGTATGTTATATGTGATGCACGTTATACACAGTATGCATTATTGTTTCAAAATATAGTGATTATAAATATATGCCCATTTTTTGTTTATCAACTACTTAATTTATTCTGGTAGATAGTACGTTGCTTCAGTTTCTTGTCCCCCGGTCGTTGTCAAAAGCTTACAATGCCAACGACAAGGTATGATGCATAAGTAATATTTGTGAATATTGAAGTATATATTTTTCTTAAGGAATTTAATTATAAAGCTCTTTATTAATTCAACGAATATATTTAATTGCGATTTTCTTATAGCAATCTGTTTTAAAGTTTTCACACCATTCACATATACGTGTATTAATGGACGTTATAATCAAGTCTTACAAAATGTTGGTTCTAAAATTTATACTAATTTGATTTAATAATATCTATCATTTTTACAGGAACATCCCCCCACGCAAAATCTTATTTCAGAACTATATCAGCAGTTTTATGCAGTAATACTTGTTAAGCTTGATTGTCGTATACACAAAACTGTTATTACAGTATAGACATTCACTAAAATTTCTGTCCTACAAAGATAAGATCTACATAATTTCTTCTGGTTCTTCTGGTGTTGAAGATGTCAATGGAACAGATTTGGAATTCTTTGCCAAAAAAGAAACTGAAGAAGTCAGAAATGCATTTCATTATTTACGTGTGTGTATTTAAGGCGTGCAAATACTGTGATAGCAACACTATTGTAGCCTGAGGAAGAAGTCAGGCTCACCTATCCCAAGATAATAAAATGTATACCTTTAAATCTTCTCTTCAAATCCACTGATAGTTAATTTCAAATTGATAATGATATAAAACTGTTCGATTTACGTAGAGATATGGAATCAAAAAGAGGATAGAGCATAGTTTTACGAGGGAAATCTTAACAACAGAAACTATTTTACTATCGCATGTTGCCATGAAATTTATTTAACGGTCTTTGTCTTAAAATGTCTTCTTTTTCTTTTTATAAGACGGGATAATGGTATGATTATCTGCTATTCTGCTCGATATTGCAAAAAAACAATGTAGATTAGATCCATGGATCTAAATGATTATGAATTAAAGTACCAGTAAATAGTACATTAAGATAGCTAGTAATTTTAATACAAAATTAATTTTTCTGTCATAATTCTATGTATCTCTAAGCTATGTACATTTTCGTTTACATTAAGCGTATATATATATAAATTAAAATAAAAAGTAAATATACAATTTAAATCATAATCACATATTCCACATAGGTATATCCACTACTGTATGTGTAATATGTCTATAAAATATAAATAGTATGAATATTTTCAAATATCTATGTCAAATGGTGCAAATTGTTTCCTAATCTTCTTTGCTAGCTCAGTTTCTTCTTCTTGGCTCATATGACAATCTTTCCAATCGGATCTATCGTTGATATCTAATATCCTATCGGATGCTAATACCTCTCTACCAAATTGTAACGGAAAGTCTTTCTTAATCCTATAATACAAGATAGTTCCATCCGGTAATTCTGCATAAAAATATAGAACTCCAGGATTAGCGATCTGCTGCAAATCTGCGTGCGGTGGCAGCTCTGATATTTTGAAATTGTTACATTCGGCTAGTTCCTGAAAAACAGAAATTTACACATTTAAGACAAAAAATAAAAGATACGTTAGAGTCTCTAATAAAAAAAAGGAGGAAAAATACCTCGAACATTTCCTTCAGTGCGGACGCTTGATTTTTATGAACAGGTACTGCTTGCAATTGACAATGGGACGTTTTAAAGTTTCTCTCGAAGAACACAGGTACTCTGTTGGTACTCTCGTAGTATTTGGTTACGGCTTTCTTGTAGAGATCCATCTCCTCCTTCACGTTTTTCGGCAGAATCGACAGGCTCTGATGATGCGTTATTGGTAGAATTAAGAAATGATCCTCCACCAGACCGCCCTTCGCTAATGCCAAGTAGATCTCTGTACCGACGGAGATCACCAGGTGCTTGGACACCACCGGACTGGATAAACAAAACCAGCACTTTGATTGATCAAATTCCAGCTTCGCCTTCTTATTGCCGCTGTTCTGATGCCGCGATCTCTTCGCATTGTCTTTCGAATCCATGTCATAGAAAAATTGCGTATGGGCCTGCTTTTGCGAAGTCGGATCATCGGACAGCATAGATCTAGGATACGGACTCGACGTCTCGTCTGTCGTTTTCATAATTAGATCTGACAGCCTGGTTCTGTCGACGGGAGTTAAATTCAACGCGTACAACCATTTCTTTTTCTGGTCATTCAGTACCGGAGCAAGGGCTATGAACCTAGTGGCTATTTCCATATTTCCGTCACCCTGGCTTTGATTTCTGCAACAAAGAAATATCATTTTTACAGCAATTTTGTATTTGTTTTCAGAAACTTTCCTGAATGACGAACTTACCGATACGGCAGCCGTTCGTAATAAATCCCTTCCAAGGCCGACATGTGATACCTGGGTTTGATGTGAGTAGCGAGCCAGGCGATCAATTTGGAACCCTCGTACTTGTGTTCCGGCTTGTTAGGGTCAAGATTGGTCACGCCTTCCGGCCACGGAGATGTCAACAAGATGTCAACCCCGCGAAAACTCGGTTGGCCCTTCAAGCAACTGTTTCTCACCGACACAACATCTTGCTCGTCGAAATGAATGGCCTTATTCTCGGACGAGGCTCTCTCAGTTCCACTGAGATACGCTATCTTGAGGCCCGAACTGGCGGTGTACAGACCACGCTTCCCGAGATACGTGAGATTCTGACATATCTCACATCCGTCCTCGTCGGGATAGTCCTCCACGTCCGACTCCCGGTTGGGACCGATGATGTAGGTTGGTACCGGGATAGTTTTCTCGCAGGACTTGTACGACTCCAATTCGGAGTTGTCCGCGCCGTAGAAATTGCCGACGCACAACAAGAAATCGAATGGGCCACTTTTCTTGTTGATAGCGTCCACTTTGGAGAACAGGAACTTGAAGTGCCCCTCCACGTCCCCGCAAATGAGAACTTTCTGCTTGTCACTCATCTCTAACAATAAAATTCTAATAACTTATGTCTTATGTTAATCACAATCAACGGTCATCGATTTCCCTTTATTTTTTCTTTTTTTTTTTGAGGTTAGGTTCCTCGTTGGTTAGGAGCGTAGACGTCTTCAACCCTGCCTTTGGGTCATACAGCGCATATATTTTGCAAGAACTATCTTCTGTACTATATAATCTTCTTAATCTTTTTCACAAAATTGTAAACATGTATCTTGTATGTACCAGCATCGATTTCCTCAGATAGTTTCAGGTTGTTTTTAGGGAACGGCTCTCGCTTTTTCCTGTGTTATTTTTCCAAAAGGAACACTGTACTCACTATTGCTTTGTAAAATTTTAGTTAAATTATTTGGCAAGTATCGTCTCAATTACATTCTGGAGTATTTCCGTAGTATTGCATAGTATGTTTTCGCGGAGAAAAGCTCCGGAGTCCGGAGTGGACATGCGACATGCTCGCGTTTCAACTTGTGGCGCCTCTATGAGCACAAACGTATACAATAATGTGCGTCAATTTGCTGACAATGAGTTATGGCAGCAGCCTGACTTATCGACCTGATTTACGCGCTGGGTCGATAATGACGAACGCGGATGAGATATACAAGGTGTCTGGTAATTATCGTGCGATCTCTCATGGGTATACATACATATATGTAAATAGGTCGAGCGTAGAGCAAGTTGAACTGAATAGAAAAGTTCTACTTATATCATTTTACAAGTTTTTCAGTAATCACTGAAAAATTAATTAATAAAGATCTACGAATAAGCGCGCACTTGCGCGTCAGTGACAAAAAACAGAAAAAGACTTTTCTATTCAGTTTAATCTGCTCTAGCTGTCCACGAGATGTAGCACGGCTAGTACTGGACACCCTGTAACCCTGCCCAGGTAGCAAGCAGTGAAGCACTCGTCATTTTGACGTCAATTGACATCAAAATGACGAGTGCTTGCTACCTGGGTGTATAATGAGAAGAATAACAAATAATATGTTTTTTTTTCTTTAATTTACCTTAAATTTTTTACCAGTTAGATTAAAT